GTATGGGCACAGAAACACTCAGGAATATAAAAAAATTGAAACAACCAAAGGGCACATTCTGCAAGCCTGCAGCCTGGCCACCAGCACCCAATCCCTCTCTTTCCATGAGTCCAGAGTCCTCAGCTGCTCCCTCTCCAAGTCCTCATCTCTGTCTCCATCTCTGATGTCGCTGCTTCTCTGGATAGGTTTACTTCCAATTTCTTAAGAAAGTGCCATACCATTTTACAGTCCCACCAACAGTGTAGGAGGCGCCAGTCTTTCCACACCCTCGCCAGCACTTGTTTTCTGTTTTACTGAACTTTGCTATTAATGCTAGAGTAAGATGGTACCTCATCGTTTATTTGATTTTCTCTCTCCAATGGTTAATGACCTAGTGTGGTGCTACAGGTTGAAGCACCGGACCGCAAGGCTGGTTGGAACTACAAGGTTGGCAGTTCAAACCCACCAGAGGCTCCGCAGAAATCCTATACAGGGTCACTATGAGTCGAAACCGACTTGATAGCACTTAACAATAATAATAAATACATTTGAATCTGGAGTCTTTTTTCTTTATAACAGCCACACAAATGTATAATGAATCATAACTGAGTTGTGACCCCAGTCACATAAAAAAAAAGATGGATTATTTTACTTAAAAGAAGAGTTCTAAAAACGACAAAGCAAAAAACTAGCTCCTCCAAAACCACTAAGTGTTCTTCAGCATGTGACTTGACTTTTTGAGCCTTAGCATCCTCATCTTTAAATGAATTTATTACCAACCTCACAAAGTTGCTGAGCTTTGAGGGATTTTTAACATTATCAACCAATAATCTGATAAAGAGATAAAAAAGTCAGCAGTTCAAACCCAGTAAGAATTCATAAGACAAAGTAAAGCTGCTGGTTCTGATGGGACCTTGAACAAGCAAACCACTTCCACAGCTCTTTATTATTAAAAAAAATTTATGTTCCCATTTCATAAAGTATATGAACTCAACTTCAACTTGCTTATTTATAATATCCAAAATAATGCTAATTTAAAGCTTTTTTTGCTATAATAATCATATAATTTTCAGGGTTTCTTTCTAATAAATGTTCACATTACATCTTAGTTTTATATTTTAAAAAAAGAAAGGTAGGAGGGATTTTAAAAGGCACTTAACTAAAATGGAGGGACACAGTGGATCCATAGGATAAGCACTGGACTCAAACTACAAGTTCAGCGGTTTGAGCTTACTAGCGGCTACTCCACAGGACAAGCATGAAGTTTTCTGTTCCTGCAAAGATTTACAGCTTCAAAAACCCTACAATGCAGCACCGCTCTGAGTCAGAACTGACTCGATGACACTTAACAAGAACTATTAAAAATGGAAAATCTTAGCTTATGTTAAGAATTACCATGTAATATGCTTTTGTAAAGGACATCTGAATGAAGATATCAACATATAACCAGCTATTCATGAAGTATTATGAGATTTTTCACAATAACTAAAAACTTTTTTATTTGCAAAGAATGTTACTTACAGGTCTTTCATTAGGATCAATGAAAAATATTTTGATGATTATTTCAAATTCACCCCATCCTGTTTCGGTAATTTCATATGGAGGCTTAGTAACAACTGAAGAGAAAAAAAAGGGAAATTACTGATTTATGTTTCCTAGCTCCTTTTAGATGTACATATTTTAAATAAAAAGAAAATTATGCTATACCTCTTAAAGGATTGCCATAGCTTTCATGTAATTTAAACTGAATTTTCTTCACATATGCTGACATATCCTAAAATATAATTAGAAAAATTAATTAGTCTGCCATTACATAGAAAATCTAGGAGAGAAATACACTATGCATAGGGACATAATTTTATAAAATTCATTTCCTCTCAAATTCTGTGAAATCTGATTTTCTTAAAAAATATATATTATACCTGGGAAGTTTTTGTTTTTATAACAAAGGAAGGCTGTGCTGAATTCCTTCATTAATTGTAGATTATTTTTAATACATAATATATACAAATATACAAGGATAAGTAAAAAAATTGCTGTTACTGGGGTTCTAGTTCATACATACCCAGTTTTATTTCAAACAAAAATGTTTAAACATGTCTGCAACCAGTGGATAGCTGCAGACAAGTTTTCTCAGTAATATACTTGTCTTAGTCTCATTAGAGTGCCTTCAAAAGAATCCAATCAAAACAGTGATTTCCTAAGTAAGGCCAGTCAATTCAAAGCAGACAGGTTATGGCAACTGGGTTTTGGGATTACAAAAGTAATCTGAATAGGGAGTCCTTTTGTGGCATCATAGAATAAGCACTGGACTGCTAACCACATGGTCAACTGTTCAAAGCCACCAGTCACTCCTTGGAAACTCTATATAGGGTTGAAGGTTGAAATGATTCAAAGGTACTAAACAACAAAATCTTGATAGATTTTCTTGAAGGATACAAGACGATCATAGGGGCTTATTAGGGAGAAGTTTTAAGAAAATTAAAACTGCAATGAGGAGAACAAGGCCAGGAAACTTGCACTAAGGAAGTTTTTTCTACCAAAACATTTTGCAAAAGTAGCAAAGACTGCTATGAGGATTTTGATGAAAACCTTACTCCATTCACCCTATAGCCCTGATCTTTCATTTTAGACGTATTTTTGTTCCCCAAACTCACAGAACATTTAAAAGAAATATGAGTTTGAGTATCCTAAAGATATTAAAACTGTCTTAACATGTTATAAATAAAAAAATACAACGTTCTTGGGGGGTGGGAAGTAGTGTAGGGGGCAGGCTTGCAGGGTATACCCTTTGGTTGGTTGATGATGCATGGAGGTGACTGTAACCATGGCAATGATAAGATATACAATAGAATGAATGTAAATCTAGTGTTCTCCCATGTAAACTATCATATAATTCACAATAAAACACTAAAAAAAAAACCATCTATAAAGATTAAATAGAAACTGTTGGCAAGAACGCCTCACAACTGGAAACCTCAATTATCACCATTTAGAGTAATATTCTGGTCCCCATAGAAATCATGGCCACATTACAGCAATGATGCCAACAACAAGGGAAAAAAAAAAAACATTCTTTAGGAAGGGTTGGAAATGAAAACACCACCTTCAGTAGTATATAAAGACTTAGATGGAGATTATGTGCATAAACAATAGGCTCACATTTTGATATTTGTGCTTAATAAAGGTGTCTATGATTTTGCAGCAAAACCTTTTGACTTATCCTTGTATATGTCCCTAATTTGTTTTGCAATTCCTGATATGGTACTGTAGGAAAAGCACTGGGCTGCTAACTACAAGGTCAGCAATTCAAACACACTAGCTACTCCTTGGAAATCCTATACAGAGTCACTATGAGTCCGCAACACTTACAACAACAACAGATAATACTCTAAGTCAACTGGTTTTTTAAATTGTGGTAAAAACAAATATAACAAAACATTCGCAATTTTAAGTTGTATAAGTACAATTCAGGGACATAAATAATATTCACAATGTAATGCAAATATCACTACTAGCTGTTTCCAAATTTTCCCATCATTCTCTAAGCAATGACTTCCCAATTCCCAGCCCTGGTAACTAACCATCTTTGGTCTCTATCCATTTGACTGTTTCATAAAATGAGGATCATATAAAATTGTCCTTGTGTGACTGACTTGTACATACAAATACTTCTTTTTAAAAGTAAAGTTGGGATCACACTGTAGTGGTATCTTAATATCTTGCTTTATCAAAACATTTGTGAGCATTTTTTCTGAGGCAGATTTTATAAGCATTTTGAAAACTCTTTGCTAACACTTTCATTCATTTATTCGATAAATACTGAAGTGACTATGGCATACAGTATGTTGTGCCAGGTGCTATGTATATAATGGTAGATAAAATAAGGACTTACCCTCAAGAAACTTAAAATGAGGGACATACAAGAAAATAAGCCCTTACAATTCAATGCAGTATATGTTATGAGGGAACTACTTACTGCCATCAAGCCAATTCTGACTCATAGTGACTCTATCTATATAGGGTTTTGGAGACCGTAAATCTATGAGAGCATATAGCCTCATCTTTTCCCATAGAGCAACTGGTAGGTTTGAACTACTGACCTTGCATTAAGCAGTCAAGTGCTTATCCTACAGCACTATCAGGGCTCCTTTTGTGAGAATTTTAAGTATATAAGAAGGGCATCTCATTTATTCTTTGTTGTTGTTGTTAAGTGCAATCAAGTAGGTTTCGACTCACAGCATTTCTGAGGTGGTAAATCTTTGCAGGAGCAGAAAGCCACATCTTTCTCCCATGGAGAAGCTGGATGGCTCGAACCACTGACTTTGTGGTTCTAAGACCAGTGCTTATCCTACAGAGCCATTGCACGCACACACACACACACACACACACACACACACACACACACACACACACCACCCCCACCATTTATTCTTTAGAAGAAAGTAATTCCTAAAAAAATCACCTTTAAACTGAAACCTGAAGGATCAACAGCACTGGAGTGGGTGGAAAGGAATAAATGGAGATATTTAACAGTGTTCCTTTGGGAAACTGAGTGTAATTTACTATCAGCAGAATATAAGGTAAGAATAAAAGATGAAACTTACAGATAAGAGATTAATATCCTTCCAAAAATATAGTATGCACATAAAAATATTCTTTCACCTCCAGATTCATAATCATTAGCAAATTATATACTCTATTTCATTTTAAAATGTAGAAATGTATTTTCAAGTTCTTCAATATATGTGCACAAAAAGCATCCTCACTTCATAGCGACATACTAATATATCATCAGGATGTCCTACATTTATTAACCAGTCCTTTACTGATGGAGTTCTAGGTTATTTCTAATATTCTGCTTTTACCAACAAGGTGGCAATAAAGAACATTATGCTGTTGTAAAGTATCATCAAGTCAGTTCTGACTCATAGCAAACCTGAATAGGGTTTCTAAGGAGTGGGTGGTGAGTTTGCAGTTGAAACCTACCTTATGGTTGAGTACTTATCCTCAGTGCCACATCGGAACTCCAAACAACATTATATATCTACTTGAAAGTGCAAGGACACATGTAGGATCATTTCCTACAAGGAAACTCTTAGGACAATGGGTATAATATACAAATGTTTTCCCCAAGCCTATGATTGCATTTGATTTGTTTATAGTGATTCTTACCTTTATATTTGAATTGATTTTTCCTTTTATGGCTTATAAGTTTTGTGTAAGAAAAACAGGCCTTTTTCAGTCAAAGACTTTATACAGTATAGCCCCCAAAGAACATACAGAAAAAAATAATTAAAATATTAGTGAAATTTTAGGATTAAAAAAATTCATTCAATTTTTTCTGCAAAAATGCTCCAATGGGCCAATTTTATAATCTGGGGTTAATATAAAAGAATATCATAATCTTTCTTCAAGCAAAACAAATTATATTCTTGAAAAGTTACAGAAAAAAAGGTACCTACCTCATTTCTATATGGTTTTACATATACTGTCCATTGATGGGTATGTCCATCTTCTTCTCTTTTCTTTCCAAAATATCGAGCAACATTACCATAAACTATAGGTTTCACAATAGTAACACCCTAAAAGAAAAATAATTTCAAAGCCAATAAATATTTTGCCATTTACCCAAATAAACAGGATGAGAGCTCTGAAAATATAGTTTAGGGAATGGATTTGCAGCTAACAATGTAGAGTTTGGCTATAAAATAAAAACAATTTCAGATACTCCTCACTATTACATATTAAACACAAATAACATCAGTTAATGATAATTTCTCATTTTAAAGATGTCTTTATAAATTACCCACGCAGTGCACTTTAAGGGTTTTATAAAAAGAAGCACAGACGTTCTCTCACTTTTACAGACTTTACAAACTTTAAAGCAAGATTACAGAATTAAAATTGCCAACCTTGACTTCCAATACCAGATGATCATGGCAGTAGTTTGTGGACATTTCAGTCAATCTCTCCTCTTTAATCAGTCTATTCAGCGTTTACCAAAACACAGTACAAAGAGCAAAAGCAGTTTGCCAGATGGTATTAGGTAGAATAAAGGCAAACAGGTGTCATTTTAATACTCAATCAGCACTAGAAAAAAAATATTAACTACAAATAGCACATCTAATCCACAATTTTAAAACATTAATAATTAAGAGGGTCTTAAAATTGAATTGACTAAAATAAAAATGTTAAAATAATTAGTACAGTTGGACTAAAATATGGCAGAAATGGTCCTCAGATGACTGGAGTTTGGTAAACACAGACCTATGACGTGTTTGCTACATTTATGCTTAGATCTGAAAAGTAAAAAGGCAGTGAGGTTGACAGATTATGATGAAAATGAAAACAGATTAAGAAATTTCAAGTGAAAATACAGAATAGTGCAATTAAGTCGGAGACCAATTGTTTTTAATAGTAGTAGACTGTATCTGAAAGACAAACAAGTTTTAAAACCCTATAAAACTGTTTTACAATTTGTTGTTTGTGCTAATGTGATCAACAATAAGAAATAAGGAAAAATAGTGAACAAAATGGGAAAACTTTTCATTGTGGCTGGATAATCAACAACTAAATTTAATATCTATTTATTAGCTCAGATAAGTTAATTCAGATAAAGGTAAACTGTTCAAGAACTTAAACAATCTTGCTACTGATGGAAATTTTGGGGTAATAGCATATGGGTCTCAGGTTCAAGGTCTGATTGAAGTACAATGAGTGCTGATGTGGTATGTACATAACTTCAACAGCTGCAAGGGTATTACTAAGAACTTGCAAAGTTCATTAATGATAAAAAAAAGTTCACCTGCCCTACAGGTTTTGTTTTTTTACCTGACAGATATTAACTGCCAGAATGAGTACATGTAGGAATAATCAATCTGTAATTTTCCAAGCTTTGCATCACCAACTTGCATCCATTTGAGAATGTTGTTGCTATTAAGTGCCATCGAGTCGATTCTGACCCATAGCAACCCTGTGGAGGGTTTTCAAGAAGCAGCTGGTGAGCTTGAACCACCTACCCTGCAGTTCAAACGACTTTGCAGTCTGACGCATTAGCCTACAGCGCCACACCAGGACTCTATTATTAGCAGGCTTAAACTCAAGCCATTTTGAACTTAAACTTACAAACTTTTAGAATATAACATTATTATAAGTGTAAGAAAAATTTGTAAGTTCTTCCAAAAAATATAAAATTTTAATTCTTTGCTCTGTAATAGTTTCTTATCATTACAAAACCTTGCCATAAATGTATTTAAATTTTCTAATAATAAGAACTTTTACCTGTATCTCTTTCCACTTCAATTTTAGATTTTGAGTTACTGTTTACATATGACACTAAATACATCTTAAGTGTATATATGTAAAATTGTGACACAAATGAAAATAATTAAAGAGAAAAAACAACTACAGGTGAACTAGATTGGTGCAACAGTGGGTGATTTCTTTTTAATTCCTAAGACTTCCAGCAAGGTGGTAGGTAGACTGGGCAGATGCACTACATGGACCCTCTACAACAAAAATAAAGGAGACCAAATAAAACAGACACAGATGAAAATTCTGGTACCCTAAACTTCAGAAGAAAGGTTAGAGAGGTGGATACAGTGCTTGCTGGGAGGAGAGGCTGAGCAGGGATGGGGAGAGAAGGAGACTGACTAGTGTCAAACATCATCTTGTGTGCAGTTTTGGCATGGGAGAGAGGCCTGGCAGAGCAGATTCTGGAGGGCGATGGGGAAAGGTGTGATGTCTTCTTTTTCCCCATGCTCCCCCGTGATGACCAGAAGTGTGACCACCTGCCAACCTCATCCATCCAAACTCCTGGAGAACAGGTGCAAATCCTGTTCTCCAGGAGTTTGGAGGCTGAATTATAAGGCTCACAAAATCATTGGATATGGTTCTGCCAAGAAAACCACAGTTCCAGCCATCACATTGTTATTGTTAAGTGCTATCAAGCCAGTTACGACCCATAGTGACCCTGTATAGGGTTTCCAAGAAGCAGCTAGTGAACTTGAGCTGCCGACCTTGTTCAAGGCAACTTTGCAGTTCAGCGCATTAACCCACAGTGCTACACCAGGACTTCTGAGTAAATATTAACAGAAATGAAAATGAAAAGATAATCCACAAACTAAATGAATTCAGCATGGAAAATTATGTGAAACACAGAATCCAGCCACACCGCCAAAAACACACAGAAAAATGATAGCAATCAAGTCATACCTATCGATAAATGTTCCAGTCCAGAGACATAGAGAGCAGAATGGATAAGAAAACAGGATCCTTCAATATGATGTCTACAAGAGTCCCATCAAAAAGATGGAGACAGCCTAATGCCCACCAACAGAGGAATGGGTAAACAAACTTTGGTGTCCACACACAATGGAATACTACAAAACACTGAAGAGTAATGATGAATCTGTGAAACACCTCACAACATAAGGACACTATGCTAAGTGAGATTGGTCAATCACAAAAGGACAAATACTGTATGAGATACACGTTGTAAAATGTTTTATAAAAAAAAAGTTTTCGAGGTATTCATAGGCTAGTGGGTAAGATAATAAGTAACATGGGTGACAGGGAAGGTAACAGACAACAAGAGTGAGGTTAACAGAGGAAAGAAGGTAGTGGGAGACACGGAGGAATGCAAACATTAAAGTGAATAGAGGTAAATGCTGTTAACTGTACATGGAGGGGACTGCAACCACGTAATGATACAAAGTACATGATTTGTTCAATGTAAAACCGATGATCTGCTCTGTAACATTTCATTCAATTGACAATGAAAAGTTGAAAAAAAAATCGGGTTGGGTAGTGAGTGTAGTGGTACGAATTGGGTTGCGAACCTCAGGGATAGAAGTTCGAAACTATCAGCTGTTCCGCGGAAGATGAGGCTTTCTGCTCCCGTAAAGACTTGCAGCCTCGGAAGCCCTATACAGGATAGCTATGGATCGGAACCGACTCCACGGTACATCACCACCACCACCACCATAAAAATCCGAACGAGGGTCTTTGGGGACCCACTCACTGTCACTGAGTCGCCTCGACTCTTGGTAACTGTATGTATGGGACAGGGTAGAATTGCTCCTTAGGATTTCCTACACTGGCACTCTTCACCGGCGCAGCCAGCCTCATCTGTCTCAGCTTGAGCGCTGGTTGGGTTTCAACCCCTGCCCTTGGGGTTAGCAGTCCAGTGCCTAACCCATAGCACCACCAGTGGTGGTTGCTATAGGTTGTCAAGTGTGTGACTCATAGCGACCCTGTGGAGGGTTTCTGAGGAGTCTGAACCGCACAGACGACCTGTGGTCCGCGCTTACCCTGCAGTGCCCAAGTGTGAAACGCTGTTCTGTTGATAGGTCCTAAGGAGCAATAGAAGAACCACTGCCCGGGCCTGTGCATCCTCACAAACGTCGTTTGAGGCCATAGTTGCTGTCATTGTGTCAGTTCACCTCCTTAGGGGGTCTTCCTCTGTTTCACTGACCCTCCACTTTCAAGAGCAATGGGAAGCCTTCACTAAAAGGGAGGGAGGCTAACGTGTACGGAATGCTCCTCAGGGCTCCCTGACATGCCTTGATGGATCCCCCGGCTTTAGCTCTGTGAACTCTATACATTCGGGAAGTGTAACGTTTCCACCCTTGTACTTGTGTGTGCGGCTCATAGCGACTCCGTCCCATTGTGATGGCGACTGCAGCGGAGATCAGGGAGGTGCGTCGATAACCGCTTACCAAATTAAGCTACTGCGGTTAACATGCTCACAGCCAGGCGTCGGCATCCCCCGGTTACCAAGGACCCGGGATGGCAGCACATGCGCACTGAGCCACGAGTCTCCTGCAACACCGTCTCCCCAGGTCATCGCTGATTTTTGTTTAGTTTGTGCCGCGGATGGGAGTGGTGTGTGACGCGATTAAGTCGGGCCCAATGAAACACCGATTTTTCGCTCTGGGAGTGACTCACCGTCCGCCCCGAATCCACAATTCAAACCCGAAGAGAGAAGGCGCGAAAGGAAAACGAGCCGGCCCTCCCCGCGCCGCGATGGGAGGGTCCAGGGTGTGAGAACCTCCCCCAGAAGGGAGTCGCGGGTCGTCACTGACCTTCACTCTCCCTCCGGAGTCAGGCCCAAATTCGGCCATTCTCTTGAACATATTGTCCTACGGAAGAAGCTGCTGCCTCCGCCAGGGAAAGAGACCGGGGCAGGCGGAGTCGACGCTCCCCTTAGAGGCCCCGCTCCTCCCGCGCGGGCCCAGATGAAAGGCTTCTGGCCGAGGAAGGGCGAATTACCGGCGCTTGCAGCACTGACCAACCACCAACTCCTCGCAGCGGAACAGCGTTCCCGAGGCCCATTCAGCTACGCGGGAAGGAGAGCGGAAAAGAAGAAACGGTGACGCCGTGCGCAAGCGCGGCGGGCGGGCTCGCGTACACATTGCGCATGCGCATCGCCACAGCTCTGGCGCTAGGCGTCCAGTCTCCTGCCCAGGTGACTTTAGCTTGCTCAGGACTGAGCGGTGCCACCCTTGTGGAGGCGATACCTTATTATCGACCAACGCTTACAACTCTGAAATCAAACTCATGAAATCTACTCGCTGACGCAAACCTACCTTACAGCTTTTGGTTAGCCTTCTCCAGACCTCCACCCATGACCCCGCTACTTTTTTCATATTGTTGTTGTTGTTAAGTGCCGTCGAGTCAGTGCCGACCCATAGCGACCCTGTACAGGGTTTCCGAGGCTGTAAATCTTTACGGGAGCAGAACGCCTCATCTTTCTCCCGCAGAGCGGCTGGTAGTTTCGAACTGCTGACCTTAAGGTTCACAGCCCGATTTGTAACCACTATGCTACCAGAGCTCCTTAATTTTTTCATATTAGTCCCCTCCTTTTCTATTCCGTTTAGGTTCCAAGGTCTATGAATTGTCACAATGATCCCTTCCGTTCGTTGCTCATTGCCTTTCTGTGTCACTACTTCAAATTTTGTCAAGTGACATCGCATTAAGTACCTTTCTCAAAAATGAGAAAGCCTCATCTTTCTACGGAGAAAGCAGCTGAACAGCTGACCTTGTTTGAAACCCAGTGCTTATGCTACAGAGCCACCGCGCACCCATTCCAAATATGTGTTAAGTGCCATCGAGTTGGTTCCGACTCATTGCGAGTGTGTATAAGGGTTCCTGAGGAGTGGCTGGTGAATTTGACCTGTAGACCTTGCGGTTCAAACAGCCGTTTCCGTCCAGTGCATTATTTCAGTACAGTGCATTATTCTGCAGCACCACACCAGGACTCCATTCCAAATATTGTTGTTGTTAACTGCTGTGGAGTGGATTCCGATCCATAGGGTAGCATTTCCCAGTTCCCAGGAGCAGCTGGTGAGCTTGAACTACTGACCTTGAGGTTCAAACCAACTTTGCAGTCCAGGGCATTAAGCCACAGCACCATACTACTCTCCAATCTAATTGAAGTCTTTGCTGAAGAACAACGGTTCTCTTACATTCTCATCAGTAATTATTTTTAAATAGCTCTAGTCTCAAACCGCTGACACCAATTCCCTCTTTATTTCCAGATGACTTTTTGCATCCTACTTTTACGGGAAGAAAAAGATTCCATGGCACTGACAGTATAATGGTTCAGCTATTTTGATAGCAAAACTATTTTGTGGCTTTGTAGCATAAGCACTGGACGGCTAGCAGCAAGGTTTGATGGTTCAAACCCACCAGCTGCTCCTCGAAATCCTATAAGTGGGGTTGCAATGAGTCAGAAACAACTGGACAACACTTAACAAAACAAAACAAAACAAAACAAAAAAGTGCTTGATTATAGCACTTCCAGAAAACAATTTCTGGAACATCCCCAGTCTGTCTTTGGAGTCCTGGTGTGGTGCTTGGGTTAATGCGCTGAACTGCAAGGTCAGTTTGAACCTCAAGGTTGGTGGCTGAAGCTCGCCAACTGCTTTTCGGAAACTCTAGACAGGGTTGCTATGAGTCAGAACCGATTTGACGGCACTTAACAACAACAACAATCTGTCTTTGTTTCTTAGATAGATGTTTTTGTTATTTAAAGTTGCATTGTTAATAATTGCCTGGCATTTATTGGAGCCTGGTTTGTATAACTTCTAATCAGGACATCTGGACAGGCAACAGCATGTCCTCTGTCAAGATGTTTATTGGAGCATCATGATCACCTTGTGATTTTGTGTGAATGTTAGAATGATAGAGCCCACCTGTGTATGCTAGGTAACTAGCACTGATGAGAACTGGTATAATATTAAATATTGCTTGTAACCAAGCAGCCAACTTGCTGTGTTTTGCTAGTCAACTGTCTGATAAATAATGCATTTTCTTTCTCTGTTTCATCTGGAGTGATTATTGATTGGGTTTAATCGCTCCAGGGTGTTGGGCCCAGGATTTTGGGGTAACACTATTAGACCTAAACACAAACTTTGGCTTGCCCAGCCCTTTCTGTCTTGGCTTCTGTTTTACAGTCAATCTTTCCGTTTTACTTCTATGTTCTCGATCTTGGTTTTTTTGCTTTTTCTCATGGATTTTGCCCCACCAACCATTCCCCCTCTGTATCTTCAGCTTTTCCTTCTCTTTTGGCTTTTTCCCCTAAGAAGTTGTAAACAAGATTCTATCTTCCCAGATTAAAACCAATTAAGCAAACCTTTAATCCTGCATGGCTGTGTTGTTTTTCATAATTTAACTTGAAAAAGCACTCAACATTCCCTGTCTCTGTGAAACCAAAGTTACTAATAAAAGCAAATCCAGGCCTCTCAACGGCTGCGCATGAGCCAGCAGTTGAGAGCCAGCGGTCTTTGCTCTTGAACACATTTAAAAAGGCCTTGTGCGATACATTATTTGATTTCTTCACTGCTGATTCCATGAGTGTTGATAGTGGATCCAAGCAGAATGAAGTCTTTGACAATTTCAATCTTTTCTCCTTTTATCATGATGATGTTTATTGGTCCAGTGGTGAGGACTTATTTTCTTTACCTTGAGGTGCAACAATGCTGAAGGATGTAGTCTTTGAGTTTCATCAGCAAGTATTTTAAGTCCACTTCACTTTCATCAAACAAGGTTTCTGTGTATTGAAGGTATTGACAGGTAAATATCAACCATGTGTTTGAATAAAATAAAGAGAAATCCCAACATGCTAAGTCTCAACTACAACAAAACCTCTCATTCATCCTTCTGCAAGAAGATCCATCAGATGTAATCTACCAATATGAGGAAGTAAACCCAAAAGTAGGAAAATCATGAAATACAGTAAACACAATAAATATCAAACATTGAGTGAGGTGAAGAATTTCAAGATGATGCTAAAACAAAGAACACAGTATGACAACAATGTTCTAAGCATGCACAGCTGTCAGTCCAGATTAGATTTGGACAATACTGCATCAAGGAGATGAAATTGATGAAATCAGCTGTATCTGAAGAATTGAGAAGAGACGTGAATATTAGAGTCTGGGAGTTGAGTTAGTGATAGATACACAGTAAGCTAAGCAAAATTTAAAACTCCAGGAAAAGCAAAATCTTGTGTAAGAAAAGAAAGGAACCATATTTACAACTACAAAAACCCCAAGTAATGACCTAACATTTTATAATTACATTGGGATGTTGGAATTTGGGAAATAGTACATATGTGGGAGGGATGGGAGGGATGGAAAGAGCTTAATTCTTAATTTCCAAAGTGGGAAGTCAAGATCTTAAAGTGGAAAAATCAAGAGGAGCAATACAAGCCTACTTGAAGTCATGGAGGAAAATACGAAAAGAGTTCAATATAAATAAATTAAGAGTATAAAGTTGTTGCATCTGACTAGGGGAACATGTTTTGTAAAAAGCCTTGTAAACAATAATTATTGAGAATGTCATGTTGGACAACATGAAGAGGAATAACATAAGAATTATTGGCATTCCAGAACAGGAACAATCACACAAGTCTACAGAGGAGATAGTTGAAGAGAATCTAGAAGAAAATGTTCCTAACATCCTGAAAAGTGAAAAGATAAGCATTCAAGAAGCTCAATGAACCCCAAGATGGACAGACCCTAAAAGACAATCACCAAGACATATAATAATCAAGCTCTCCAAAATCAAAGATAAGGACAGGATCTTGAAAGCAGCTAG